CCCCTCCATTGTGCCAAATGGTAGGATTGGCAACGAATATGGAGAGGAACAAGGATCTTCTCCTTCTGAAAAAAGCCCCAATTTGATTAATATATCATATAATAATAATAATATAATATATGATATGATATAATATAATATAATATAGAGCAGGCAGTAAAAGTACTCACCAGCCTCGACCAGGTTCGGGAAACCGCCGCCCAGCTCGCTGACATTCCGGACCACCAACGGATGCAGCAAGAACACCTCGACGCCGGGACGCTGTTCACGATCTACGGCCAGCATAGCTGAGATGGTCTCCTGTAGATCGGAACAATAGACGGCAGGAATCCGAAGGAACACGCCCTGGACTATCCTTTCGCACAGCTCATGGAATGGTGGACGCAGGGCGCACATCTCATACACCACGCATCCCAGGGCCCACACGTCGCTCTTCCAGTCGGACCTCCTGCCGCGGACTAGCTCCGGACTCATGTACACCGGAGTGCCCACGAACGCAGCGTCGAAGCTCTGGTCCCGCCTCAGCATCTGGGCCAGGCCGAAATCACCCAGCTTGGCTTTGCCGGCAGCGTCCAGGAAGATGTTAGCTGGCTTAACATCCCTGTGTACGATCGCTCGGTCCGTACCGTTGTGGCAGCAGTCCAGGGCACTGCACACTTGCACGAGCACCCGCCAAATGTAGGGCTCCTCGCACCGGCGTCGCTCTGTTCGCGCCCGCTCGACAAGCTGGGCGAGATCACCGCCGGCACAGCACTCCATAACAATATGCAATACCTTCACCACCCGACTGTCGAAATGGTGGAAGTATTGCACAATGTTAGGGTGCTGCAGTTCCCGAAGCATGGTTATCTCCGAGAACAACGCCTCGCGCTTGTCCTCGTCTAGCTGGTCGTAATCGATGCCTTTTAAGGCAAACACCTCGCCGGTGCTCCTCTCCTGCACCTTATAGCAGGTCGCGAAGGAGCCGCTTCCAATTTCCGCCAGCACATCGTAATCCCGAAGGCTTTTTTCCACTTGGCCACTCATGTTGCTTCAAATATTATTTGTTTATTTTTGTAAGCTTCTTCTTCCCGTTCGTTTTAGAATCAACCTAACTTCGGACGCCAAAGTCTGTATACCCTTGCAGATAGAACTTCAGCAGGGTATTATAATTTCGCACATCACGTACACCACGCAGCCCAGGGCCCACGCGTCGCTCTTCCGGTCGGACCTCCTGCCGCGGAGCAGCTCCGGACTCATGTAGTCTTAAAAATTTTTTTTTTTCTGCCGGAGATATCTAGAAAGATTGCCTTTTCACGATGATCAAGAATATATATAATATATTTGGTCGGGAATGACTCCGCCAAAGCTTCTGACTAAAAGTATTGTACCCCGCAAGGGTAGAAAATTATGACATAAACTAAAAAAAAAAAAATGTTTACCCCTTGAAATATATATAAAAAGCTACAATTGATCGGAACTAGTTTTTCTTTTTATTAAAAGAGTTCCTTTATTTATAAAATAAATATTTGAGAAACCAAAATAAAAATAAAGATTTAATTGTTATTTTACATAGAAACCCGGTATTCCAGAATTTAATTAATATCATAGGCAATTGGCAGGAAAAAAAAAAAACCAAAAAACGTACAAAAAATTAATATATAAAGTAAGGTAAAAAAGTAATATATATTCCACATATAATATTAAAACTGTACATCAAGCGGCCACAGCAGCCAATGCTCATAATTTTAAGTTAGCCTTTAGTTTAAAACCAACCGCTAGTACGGCTCCTCGCACCGGCGTCGCTCTGTTCGCGCCCGCTCGACAAGCTGGGCAAGATCGCCCCCGGCACAGCACTCCATTAGAATGTGCAATACCTTGGCCACCCGATTGTCGAAATGGTCATGGTATTGCACAATGTTGGGGTGCTGCAGTTCCCGGAGCATGGTGACCTCCGAGAACAGCGCCTCGCGCTTGTCCTCGTCTAGCTGGTCGTAATCTATGCCTTTTAAGGCAAAAACCTCGCCGGTGCTCCTGTCCTGCACCTTATAGCAGGTCCCGAAGGAGCCGCATCCGAGGACCGCCAGCACGTCGAAGTCCCGAAGGCTTTTTTGCACTTGGCCACTCATGTTGCTTCAAATTATTTATTTATTTTAGTCAGCTTCTTCTTCCCGTTCGTTTTAGAATCAACCTAACGCATCAATCATAATAATCAACCACGCAGCCCAGGGCCCACGCGTCGCTCTTCCGGTCGGACCTCCTGCCGCGGAGCAGCTCCGGACACGTAGTCTTAAATTTTTTTTTTTTTATATGGGAAATTAAAAAAAAATTTTTTTTTTAAGTGGGAAATTAAAAAAAAATTATTTTTTTTTGTTTTCAAGATTTTTATCAAATTTAATATATAGCCACTTTATATTATTGTACAGTTTTGTGAACAATTTTATGAAAATCGGACGACTATATCATATAGCTGCCATAGCAGTTCGCTATTTGCGAACTTTTCTAACGCAACACCTGTAAGATAATTTAAATAAAATTAATTAAATGTATTTTTTTTTACTATATATTATTTTTACCTTTTATCAAGAGGAACAAATTGAACTTCTGGAAGCTAGGCTTCGTCCTTGTTCCTCTCCACGAGAGCTGCACGCTCAAACTGTCAACCAGAACGGCTTTCAGCACGTTCCTGGTGAAGCGAGCAACACCAATGCCATCTATTTGCCGTATTTTAGATTTCTGAAATAGAAATAAATATTTAAAAACTGTAGAATATTTGATAAAAATTAGTCCTCACCATCTGTTGCTTCGCCTCTTCGTTTGACAGTAAGAGCGTGTCAAACTCTCGGAGCCCCTCCATTGTGCCAAATGGTAGGATTGGCAACGTCGACGAAGAGGAACAAGGAGAAGGTCCTTCTGAAAAAAGTCGAATTTGATTAGTATGTCATATAATAATATAGCACAAAATAAAAGTACTCACCAGCCTCGACCAGGTTCGGCAAACCGTCGCCCAGCTCGCTGGCATTCCGGATCACCAACGGATGCCGCACGAACACCTCGACGTCGGGACGCTGTTCACGATCTACGATCAGCATAGCTGAGATGATCTCCTGTAGATCGGAACCGTACACGGCAGGAATCCGACGGAACACGCCCTGGAGTATCCTCTCGGACAGCAGAGCGAAGGTGGACCCACGGAACGGTGGACGCAGGGCGCACATCACGTACACCACGCAGCCGAGGGCCCACACGTCGCTCTTCCGGTCGGAACTCCTGCCGCGGAGCAGCTCCGGACTCATGTACACCGGAGTGCCCACGAATGCAGCGTCGAGGCTTAGGTCCCGCACCATGCATATGGGGGGAATTAATGAAGCCTTCTCCGTGGTGGTGCTGGCCAATATCAAGATTCTGGATGTGGATCCCGGCAAGGTGAATGTGCACGGCGGTGCTGTGTCCATTGGCCATCCCATTGCCATGTCTGGAGCGCGTTTGATAAACCGCTCCTCGAACCGGCGTCTCTGTGTTCGCGCCCGCTCGACAAACTGGGCGAGATCGCCGCCGGCACAGCACTCCATAACAATGTGCAATACCTTATCCACCCGATTGTCAAATTGGTGGTGGTATTGCACAATGTTATGGTGCTGCAGTTCCCGGAGCATGCCAACCTCCGAGAACAGCGCGTCGCGTTCGATCTCGTCCAGCTTGTCGTAGCTGATGCTCTGCAGCACGAACAGCTCGCCGGTGCTCCTGTCCCGCACCTTCTTGCACGTCGCGAAGGAGCCGCTGCCCATCACCGCCAGGACGTCGTAGTTGTCGAGGGATTTTTCGTTCACGTTCATTTTGGCTGTTGCACACGCGCACATCTTGATGTTTTTTTGGTTTCTTTTTGTCTTTCTTTAAACCTTCAGAATAAAGGAAAGGAAAGCAAACTTCGACACGCCGACGTTTGTATACCCTTCCAGATAGAACTTCAGCAGGGTACATCACGTACACCACGCAGCCCAGGGCCCACACGTTGCTCTTCCGGTCGGACCTCCTGCCGCGGACTAGCTCCGGACTCGTAGTCTTAATTTTTTTTTTTTTTTTTTTTAAGTGGGAAATTAAAAAAAAAAAATTTTTTAAGTGGGAAATTAAAAAAAAATTTTTTTAAGTGGGAAATTAAAAAAAAATATATAAAGCTACAATTGATCAGAACTAGTTTTTCTTTTTACTGAAAGAGTTTCTTTATTTATAAAATAAATATTTGATAAGCCAAAATAAAAATAAAGATAATAAAGATTCAATTGTTATTTTACATAGAAACCCGGTATTCCAGAATTTAATTAATATCAAACTAATTAAAACTAATAACACTCACAAAAAAACGTACAAAAAATAATATATACAGTAAAACAAAGGAATATATATTCCACAGTAGTTTCCATGGCTCCTGAACTCACAAAAAACGTACAAAAAAATAATATATAAAGTAAGGTAAAAAAGAAATATATATTCCACATATAATATTAAAACTGTACATCAAGCGGCCACAGCACCCAATGCTCATAACTTTAAGTTGGCCTTTAGTTTAAAACCAACCGCTAGCTTTATATAAATGTATTCCATAGCATTCCCCTCATTACACTAGTCTCTCAGTTTTAAAGCAATCGGAATGAAACTTTGCAGTAAGTCTTCTATATACTCTCACCCGTATATATGTCGACTATATCATATAGCTGCCATAGGAACGATCGGAAATAAAAAAAAAAAATTATTTTTTTTGTTTTCAAGATTTTTATCAAATTTAATATATAGCCACTTTATATTATTGTACAGTTTTGTGAACAATTTTATGAAAAGCGGACGACTATATCATATAGCTGTAGAAACGAGGGTCACATGTAGAGGAACATGCAAAATTTAATTTAATTTATTTTTAATTGTATTAATTTGAACACACAATTTTAAAATAATATGGTTTCCGCGCTGAAGGCCTTCCCGGCCAGCCACCATAGGCGGCCCTTTGGGCGTACTAGTTACCTTCATTATCTCCTGCCGCGGACTAGCTCCGGACTCATGTAGTCCGGAGTGCCCACGTCCGAAGCGTCGAGGGTTAGCTCCCTTATCATCTGGGCCAGGCCGAACTCGCCCAGTTTGGCGTTGCCGGCAGCGTCCAAGAATATGTTGGCCGGCTGCACATCTCTGTGCAGGATGGCTCCGTCAATCCTTCTGTGGCACCGATCCAGGGCACGGCACACTTGGAAGAGCACCCTCCATATGAAGCGCTCCTCCAACCGGCGTCGCTGTGTCCGCGCCCGCTCAACGAGCTGGGCGAGATCGCCGCCGGCACAGCACTCCATAACAATATGCAATACCTGCGTCGAAATGGTGGAAGTATTGCACAATGTTAGGGTGCTGCAGTTCCCGGAGAATGGTAAGCTCCGAGAACAGCGCCTCGCACTTGATCTCGTCCAGCTTGTCGTAGCCGATGCCCTTCAAGACGTACAGCTCGCCGGAGCTCTTGTCCCGCACCTTGAACAAGGTCCCGAACGAGCCGTTGCGCATCACGCCCAGCAAGTCGTAGTCGGAGGGTTTTGTTTGAGAAATCCATGCGATCCATTTTTGAATGTTGAGACACGTGGGTATGCTGTGCACGGTATGTATTGTTTTGATCTTAAATTCCTTTTAGCCGGCGAGATCGCAGCCGGCACAGCACTCCATAACAATGTGCAATACCTTCATCACCCGATTGTCGAAAAGGTGGTGGTATTGCACAATACTAGGGTGCTGCAGTTCGCGGAGCATGGTTATCTCCGAGAACAACGCCTCGCACTTGACCTCGTCCAGCTTGTCGTAATTGATGCCGTTCAGGACAAACGGCTCGCCGGAGCTCTTGTCCCGCACCTTGAACAAGGTCCCGAACGAGCCGTTGCGCATCACAGCCAGAACGTCGTAGTCGTGGAGGGTTTTGTGGGAGAAATCCATGCGATCCATTTTTAATCGTTGAGACACGTGGGTATGCTGTTCACGGTATGTATTGTTTTGATTTTAAATTCCTTTTAGTCTTCAAAATCTAGGAAAGGCATGCAAACTTCGGTACGCCGACGTTTGTATACCCTTTCAGATAAAACTTCAGCAGGGTACATCACGTACACCACGCATCCCAGGGCCCACACGTCGCTCTTCCAGTCGGACCTCCTGCCGCGGACTAGCTCCGGACTCATGTACACCGGAGTGCCCACGAACGCAGCGTCGAAGCTCTGGTCCCGCCTCAGCATCTGGGCCGGGCCGAAATCACCCAGCTTGGCGTTGCCGGCAGCGTCCAGGAAGATGTTCGCCGGCTTCACGTCCCGGTGTCCCGATCGCTCGGTCCGTACCGTTGTGGCAGCAGTCCAAGGCACGGCACACTTGGACGAGCACCCGCCAAATGTAGGGCTCCTCGCACCGGCGTCGCTCTGTTCGCGCCCGCTCGACAAGCTGGGCAAGATCGCTGCCGGCACAGCACTCCATTAGAATTTGCAATACCTTGGCCACCCGATTGTCGAAATGGTCATGGTATTGCACAATGTTGGGGTGCTGCAGTTCCCGGAGCATGGTGACCTCCGAGAACAGCGCCTCGCGCTTGTCCTCGTCTAGCTGGTCGTAATCGATGCCTTTTAAGGCAAACACCTCGCCGGTGCTCCTGTCCTGCACCTTATAGCAGGTCCCGAAGGAGCCGCATCCGAGGACCGCCAGCACGTCGAAGTCCCGAAGGCTTTTTTGAACTTGGCCACTCATGTTGCTTCAAATTATTTATTTATTTTAGTCAGCTTCTTCTTCCCGTTCGTTTTAGAATCAACCTAACGCATCAATCATAATTATCAACCACGCAACCCAGGGCCCACGCGTCGCTCTTCCGGTCGGACCTCCTGCCGCGGAGCAGCTCCGGACCCGTAGTCTTAAATTTTTTTTTTTTTATATGGGACATTAAAAAAAAATTTTTTTTAAGTGGGAAATTAAAAAAAAAAAATTTTGTTTAAGTGGGAAATTTAAAAAAAAAAATTTTTTCTGCTGGAGATATCTAGAAAGATTGCCTTTTGATGATGATCAAGAATATATATGATATATTGGGTCGGAAATGACTCCGTCAAAGCTTTGTAAGCTTCTGACTAAAAGTATTGTACCCCGCAAGGGTAGAAAATATGACATAAAATAAAAAAAAAAAAATTTTTTTTCCTCTTGAAATATATATAAAAAGCTACATTCGATCGGAACTAGTTTTTCTTCCTGAAAGTTTCTTTATTTATAAAATAAATATTTAGGAAACCAAAATAATGATAATGACCGCGCCGGTCTCCTCCAGCCACTCATCGCCGGCAAGCTCCTGGCGCCGCTCGAATAGATCGCTGCGTAACTGCTCCAGCCGATCGGGCGGCAGCTGGCCCAGCTGGGGTCGTCTCTTGCGCTGACCTTTCTGGCTGAACTGTAAAAGGTTGACATTTCAATGTTAGCTTTTTAATTCGCTTACAAATACATACATCAGTTCCTGTTCCTCCTAAGTCGCTTGGTTATGCGATCTTGCGCATGAACCAGATGCTGCTGGAACGTTTTGTTTATTACAAGTTCGCTATTTGCGAACTTTTCTAACGCAACACCTGTAAGATAATTTAAATAAAATTAATTAAATGTATTATTTTTTCTATATATTATTTTTACCTTTTATTAGGAGGAACAAATTAAACTCCTGGAAGCTAGGCTTCGTCCCTGTCCCTCTCCACGAGAGCTGCACGCTCAAACTATCGTCAAGAACAGCTTTCAGCATGTTTCTGGTGAAGCGAGCAACATCAATGCCACCTATTTGCAGCATTTTAGATGTCATTTGTTGCTTCGCCTCTTCGTTTGACAGTAAGAGCGTGTCAAACTCTCGGAGCCCCTCCATTGTGCCAAATGGTAGGATTGGCAACGAATATGGAGAGGAACAAGGATCTTCTCCTTCTGAAAAAAGCCCCAATTTGATTAATATATCATATAATAATAATAATATAATATATGATATGATATAATATAATATAATATAGAGCAGGCAGTAAAAGTACTCACCAGCCTCGACCAGGTTCGGGAAACCGCCGCCCAGCTCGCTGACATTCCGGACCACCAACGGATGCAGCAAGAACACCTCGACGCCGGGACGCTGTTCACGATCTACGGCCAGCATAGCTGAGATGGTCTCCTGTAGATCGGAACAATAGACGGCAGGAATCCGAAGGAACACGCCCTGGACTATCCTTTCGCACAGCTCATGGAATGGTGGACGCAGGGCGCACATCTCATACACCACGCATCCCAGGGCCCACACGTCGCTCTTCCAGTCGGACCTCCTGCCGCGGACTAGCTCCGGACTCATGTACACCGGAGTGCCCACGAACGCAGCGTCGAAGCTCTGGTCCCGCCTCAGCATCTGGGCCAGGCCGAAATCACCCAGCTTGGCTTTGCCGGCAGCGTCCAGGAAGATGTTAGCTGGCTTAACATCCCTGTGTACGATCGCTCGGTCCGTACCGTTGTGGCAGCAGTCCAGGGCACTGCACACTTGCACGAGCACCCGCCAAATGTAGGGCTCCTCGCACCGGCGTCGCTCTGTTCGCGCCCGCTCGACAAGCTGGGCGAGATCACCGCCGGCACAGCACTCCATAACAATATGCAATACCTTCACCACCCGACTGTCGAAATGGTGGAAGTATTGCACAATGTTAGGGTGCTGCAGTTCCCGAAGCATGGTTATCTCCGAGAACAACGCCTCGCGCTTGTCCTCGTCTAGCTGGTCGTAATCGATGCCTTTTAAGGCAAACACCTCGCCGGTGCTCCTCTCCTGCACCTTATAGCAGGTCGCGAAGGAGCCGCTTCCAATTTCCGCCAGCACATCGTAATCCCGAAGGCTTTTTTCCACTTGGCCACTCATGTTGCTTCAAATATTATTTGTTTATTTTTGTAAGCTTCTTCTTCCCGTTCGTTTTAGAATCAACCTAACTTCGGACGCCAAAGTCTGTATACCCTTGCAGATAGAACTTCAGCAGGGTATTATAATTTCGCACATCACGTACACCACGCAGCCCAGGGCCCACGCGTCGCTCTTCCGGTCGGACCTCCTGCCGCGGAGCAGCTCCGGACTCATGTAGTCTTAAAAATTTTTTTTTTTCTGCCGGAGATATCTAGAAAGATTGCCTTTTCACGATGATCAAGAATATATATAATATATTTGGTCGGGAATGACTCCGCCAAAGCTTCTGACTAAAAGTATTGTACCCCGCAAGGGTAGAAAATTATGACATAAACTAAAAAAAAAAAAATGTTTACCCCTTGAAATATATATAAAAAGCTACAATTGATCGGAACTAGTTTTTCTTTTTATTAAAAGAGTTCCTTTATTTATAAAATAAATATTTGAGAAACCAAAATAAAAATAAAGATTTAATTGTTATTTTACATAGAAACCCGGTATTCCAGAATTTAATTAATATCATAGGCAATTGGCAGGAAAAAAAAAAAACCAAAAAACGTACAAAAAATTAATATATAAAGTAAGGTAAAAAGTAATATATATTCCACATATAATATTAAAACTGTACATCAAGCGGCCACAGCAGCCAATGCTCATAATTTTAAGTTAGCCTTTAGTTTAAAACCAACCGCTAGTACGGCTCCTCGCACCGGCGTCGCTCTGTTCGCGCCCGCTCGACAAGCTGGGCAAGATCGCCCCCGGCACAGCACTCCATTAGAATGTGCAATACCTTGGCCACCCGATTGTCGAAATGGTCATGGTATTGCACAATGTTGGGGTGCTGCAGTTCCCGGAGCATGGTGACCTCCGAGAACAGCGCCTCGCGCTTGTCCTCGTCTAGCTGGTCGTAATCTATGCCTTTTAAGGCAAAAACCTCGCCGGTGCTCCTGTCCTGCACCTTATAGCAGGTCCCGAAGGAGCCGCATCCGAGGACCGCCAGCACGTCGAAGTCCCGAAGGCTTTTTTGCACTTGGCCACTCATGTTGCTTCAAATTATTTATTTATTTTAGTCAGCTTCTTCTTCCCGTTCGTTTTAGAATCAACCTAACGCATCAATCATAATAATCAACCACGCAGCCCAGGGCCCACGCGTCGCTCTTCCGGTCGGACCTCCTGCCGCGGAGCAGCTCCGGACACGTAGTCTTAAATTTTTTTTTTTTTATATGGGAAATTAAAAAAAAATTTTTTTTTTAAGTGGGAAATTAAAAAAAAAATTATTTTTTTTGTTTTCAAGATTTTTATCAAATTTAATATATAGCCACTTTATATTATTGTACAGTTTTGTGAACAATTTTATGAAAATCGGACGACTATATCATATAGCTGCCATAGCAGTTCGCTATTTGCGAACTTTTCTAACGCAACACCTGTAAGATAATTTAAATAAAATTAATTAAATGTATTTTTTTTTACTATATATTATTTTTACCTTTTATCAAGAGGAACAAATTGAACTTCTGGAAGCTAGGCTTCGTCCTTGTTCCTCTCCACGAGAGCTGCACGCTCAAACTGTCAACCAGAACGGCTTTCAGCACGTTCCTGGTGAAGCGAGCAACACCAATGCCATCTATTTGCCGTATTTTAGATTTCTGAAATAGAAATAAATATTTAAAAACTGTAGAATATTTGATAAAAATTAGTCCTCACCATCTGTTGCTTCGCCTCTTCGTTTGACAGTAAGAGCGTGTCAAACTCTCGGAGCCCCTCCATTGTGCCAAATGGTAGGATTGGCAACGTCGACGAAGAGGAACAAGGAGAAGGTCCTTCTGAAAAAAAGTCGAATTTGATTAGTATGTCATATAATAATATAGCACAAAATAAAAGTACTCACCAGCCTCGACCAGGTTCGGCAAACCGTCGCCCAGCTCGCTGGCATTCCGGATCACCAACGGATGCCGCACGAACACCTCGACGTCGGGACGCTGTTCACGATCTACGATCAGCATAGCTGAGATGATCTCCTGTAGATCGGAACCGTACACGGCAGGAATCCGACGGAACACGCCCTGGAGTATCCTCTCGGACAGCAGAGCGAAGGTGGACCCACGGAACGGTGGACGCAGGGCGCACATCACGTACACCACGCAGCCGAGGGCCCACACGTCGCTCTTCCGGTCGGAACTCCTGCCGCGGAGCAGCTCCGGACTCATGTACACCGGAGTGCCCACGAATGCAGCGTCGAGGCTTAGGTCCCGCACCATGCATATGGGGGGAATTAATGAAGCCTTCTCCGTGGTGGTGCTGGCCAATATCAAGATTCTGGATGTGGATCCCGGCAAGGTGAATGTGCACGGCGGTGCTGTGTCCATTGGCCATCCCATTGCCATGTCTGGAGCGCGTTTGATAAACCGCTCCTCGAACCGGCGTCTCTGTGTTCGCGCCCGCTCGACAAACTGGGCGAGATCGCCGCCGGCACAGCACTCCATAACAATGTGCAATACCTTATCCACCCGATTGTCAAATTGGTGGTGGTATTGCACAATGTTATGGTGCTGCAGTTCCCGGAGCATGCCAACCTCCGAGAACAGCGCGTCGCGTTCGATCTCGTCCAGCTTGTCGTAGCTGATGCTCTGCAGCACGAACAGCTCGCCGGTGCTCCTGTCCCGCACCTTCTTGCACGTCGCGAAGGAGCCGCTGCCCATCACCGCCAGGACGTCGTAGTTGTCGAGGGATTTTTCGTTCACGTTCATTTTGGCTGTTGCACACGCGCACATCTTGATGTTTTTTTGGTTTCTTTTTGTCTTTCTTTAAACCTTCAGAATAAAGGAAAGGAAAGCAAACTTCGACACGCCGACGTTTGTATACCCTTCCAGATAGAACTTCAGCAGGGTACATCACGTACACCACGCAGCCCAGGGCCCACACGTTGCTCTTCCGGTCGGACCTCCTGCCGCGGACTAGCTCCGGACTCGTAGTCTTAATTTTTTTTTTTTTTTTTTTTAAGTGGGAAATTAAAAAAAAAAAAATTTTAAGTGGGAAATTAAAAAAAAAATTTTTTTAAGTGGGAAATTAAAAAAAAATATATAAAGCTACAATTGATCAGAACTAGTTTTTCTTTTTACTGAAAGAGTTTCTTTATTTATAAAATAAATATTTGATAAGCCAAAATAAAAATAAAGATAATAAAGATTCAATTGTTATTTTACATAGAAACCCGGTATTCCAGAATTTAATTAATATCAAACTAATTAAAACTAATAACACTCACAAAAAATAATATATACAGTAAAACAAAGGAATATATATTCCACAGTAGTTTCCATGGCTCCTGAACTCACAAAAAACGTACAAAAAAATAATATATAAAGTAAGGTAAAAAAGAAATATATATTCCACATATAATATTAAAACTGTACATCAAGCGGCCACAGCACCCAATGCTCATAACTTTAAGTTGGCCTTTAGTTTAAAACCAACCGCTAGCTTTATATAAATGTATTCCATAGCATTCCCCTCATTACACTAGTATCTCAGTTTTAAAGCAATCGGAATGAAACTTTGCAGTAAGTCTTCTATATACTCTCACCCGTATATATGTCGACTATATCATATAGCTGCCATAGGAACGATCGGAAATAAAAAAAAAAATTATTTTATTTTTGTTTTCAAGATTTTTATCAAATTTAATATATAGCCACTTTATATTATTGTACAGTTTTGTGAACAATTTTATGAAAATCGGACGACTATATCATATAGCTGTAGAAACGAGGGTCACATGTAGAGGAACATGCAAAATTTAATTTAATTTATTTTTAATTGTATTAATTTGAACACAGAATTTTAAAATAATATGGTTTCCGCGCTGAAGGCCTTCCCGGCCAGCCACCATAGGCGGCCCTTTGGGCGTACTAGTTACCTTCATTATCTCCTGCCGCGGACTAGCTCCGGACTCATGTAGTCCGGAGTGCCCACGTCCGAAGCGTCGAGGGTTAGCTCCCTTATCATCTGGGCCAGGCCGAACTCGCCCAGTTTGGCGTTGCCGGCAGCGTCCAAGAATATGTTGGCCGGCTGCACATCTCTGTGCAGGATGGCTCCGTCAATCCTTCTGTGGCACCGATCCAGGGCACGGCACACTTGGAAGAGCACCCTCCATATGAAGCGCTCCTCCAACCGGCGTCGCTGTGTCCGCGCCCGCTCAACGAGCTGGGCGAGATCGCCGCCGGCACAGCACTCCATAACAATATGCAATACCTGCGTCGAAATGGTGGAAGTATTGCACAATGTTAGGGTGCTGCAGTTCCCGGAGAATGGTAAGCTCCGAGAACAGCGCCTCGCACTTGATCTCGTCCAGCTTGTCGTAGCCGATGCCCTTCAAGACGTACAGCTCGCCGGAGCTCTTGTCCCGCACCTTGAACAAGGTCCCGAACGAGCCGTTGCGCATCACGCCCAGCAAGTCGTAGTCGGAGGGTTTTGTTTGAGAAATCCATGCGATCCATTTTTGAATGTTGAGACACGTGGGTATGCTGTGCACGGTATGTATTGTTTTGATCTTAAATTCCTTTTAGCCGGCGAGATCGCAGCCGGCACAGCACTCCATAACAATGTGCAATACCTTCATCACCCGATTGTCGAAAAGGTGGTGGTATTGCACAATACTAGGGTGCTGCAGTTCGCGGAGCATGGTTATCTCCGAGAACAACGCCTCGCACTTGACCTCGTCCAGCTTGTCGTAATTGATGCCGTTCAGGACAAACGGCTCGCCGGAGCTCTTGTCCCGCACCTTGAACAAGGTCCCGAACGAGCCGTTGCGCATCACAGCCAGAACGTCGTAGTCGTGGAGGGTTTTGTGGGAGAAATCCATGCGATCCATTTTTAATCGTTGAGACACGTGGGTATGCTGTTCACGGTATGTATTGTTTTGATTTTAAATTCCTTTTAGTCTTCAAAATCTAGGAAAGGCATGCAAACTTCGGTACGCCGACGTTTGTATACCCTTTCAGATAAAACTTCAGCAGGGTACATCACGTACACCACGCATCCCAGGGCCCACACGTCGCTCTTCCAGTCGGACCTCCTGCCGCGGACTAGCTCCGGACTCATGTACACCGGAGTGCCCACGAACGCAGCGTCGAAGCTCTGGTCCCGCCTCAGCATCTGGGCCGGGCCGAAATCACCCAGCTTGGCGTTGCCGGCAGCGTCCAGGAAGATGTTCGCCGGCTTCACGTCCCGGTGTCCCGATCGCTCGGTCCGTACCGTTGTGGCAGCAGTCCAAGGCACGGCACACTTGGACGAGCACCCGCCAAATGTACGGCTCCTCGCACCGGCGTCGCTCTGTTCGCGCCCGCTCGACAAGCTGGGCAAGATCACTGCCGGCACAGCACTCCATTAGAATTTGCAATACCTTGGCCACCCGATTGTCGAAATGGTCATGGTATTGCACAATGTTGGGGTGCTGCAGTTCCCGGAGCGTGGTGACCTCCGAGAACAGCGCCTCGCGCTTGTCCTCGTCTAGCTGGTCGTAATCGATGCCTTTTAAGGCAAACACCTCGCCGGTGCTCCTGTCCTGCACCTTATAGCAGGTCCCGAAGGAGCCGCATCCGAGGACCGCCAGCACGTCGAAGTCCCGAAGGCTTTTTTGAACTTGGCCACTCATGTTGCTTCAAATTATTTATTTATTTTAGTCAGCTTCTTCTTCCCGTTCGTTTTAGAATCAACCTAACGCATCAATCATAATAATCAACCACGCAGCCCAGGGCCCACGCGTCGCTCTTCCGGTCGGACCTCCTGCCGCGGAGCAGCTCCGGACCCGTAGTCTTAAATTTTTTTTTTTTTTTATATGGGAAATGAAAAAAAAATTTTTTTTTAAGTGGGAAATTAAAAAAAAAAAATTTTGTTTAAGTGGGAAATTTAAAAAAAAAAATTTTTCTGCTGGAGATATCTAGAAAGATTGCCTTTTGATGATGATCAAGAATATATATGATATATTGGGTCGGAAATGACTCCGTCAAAGCTTTGTAAGCTTCTGACTAAAAGTATTGTACCCCGCAAGGGTAGAAAAATATGACATAAAATAAAAAAAAAAAAAATTTTTTTTTCCTCTTGAAATATATATAAAAAGCTACATTCGATCGGAACTAGTTTTTCTTCCTGAAAGTTTCTTTATTTATAAAATAAATATTTAGGAAACCAAAATAATGATAATGACCGCGCCGGTCTCCTCCAGCCACTCATCGCCGGCAAGCTCCTGGCGCCGCTCGAATAGATCGCTGCGTAACTGCTCCAGCCGATCGGGCGGCAGCTGGCCCAGCTGGGGTCGTCTCTTGCGCTGACCTTTCTGGCTGAACTGTAAAAGGTTGACATTTCAATGTTAGCTTTTTAATTCGCTTACAAATACATACATCAGTTCCTGTTCCTCCTAAGTCGCTTGGTTATGCGATCTTGCGCATGAACCAGATGCTGCTGGAACGTTTTGTTTATTACAAGTTCGCTATTTGCGAACTTTTCTAACGCAACACCTGTAAGATAATTTAAATAAAATTAATTAAATGTATTATTTTTTCTATATATTATTTTTACCTTTTATTAGGAGGAACAAATTAAACTCCTGGAAGCTAGGCTTCGTCCCTGTCCCTCTCCACGAGAGCTGCACGCTCAAACTATCGTCAAGAACAGCTTTCAGCATGTTTCTGGTGAAGCGAGCAACATCAATGCCACCTATTTGCAGCATTTTAGATGTCATTTGTTGCTTCGCCTCTTCGTTTGACAGTAAGAGCGTGTCAAACTCTCGGAGCCCCTCCATTGTGCCAAATGGTAGGATTGGCAACGAATATGGAGAGGAACAAGGATCTTCTCCTTCTGAAAAAAGCCCCAATTTGATTAATATATCATATTATAATAATAATATAATATATGATATGATATAATATAATATAATATAGAGCAGGCAGTAAAAGTACTCACCAGCCTCGACCAGGTTCGGGAAACCGCCGCCCAGCTCGCTGACATTCCGGACCACCAACGGATGCAGCTAGAACACCTCGACGCCGGGACGCTGTTCACGATCTACGGCCAGCATAGCTGAGATGGTCTCCTGTAGATCGGAACAATAGACGGCAGGAATCCGAAGGAACACGCCCTGGACTATCCTTTCGCACAGCTCATGGAATGGTGGACGCAGGGCGCACATCTCATACACCACGCATCCCAGGGCCCACACGTCGCTCTTCCAGTCGGACCTCCTGCCGCGGACTAGCTCCGGACTCATGTACACCGGAGTGCCCACGAACGCAGCGTCGAAGCTCTGGTCCCGCCTCAGCATCTGGGCCAGGCCGAAATCACCCAGCTTGGCGTTGCCGGCAGCGTCCAGGAAGATGTTAGCTGGCTTAACATCCCTGTGTACGATCGCTCGGTCCGTACCGTTGTGGCAGCAGTCCAGGGCACTGCACACTTGCACGAGCACCCGCCAAATGTACGGCTCCTCGCACCGGCGTCGCTCTGTTCGCGCCCGCTCGACAAACTGGGCGAGATCGCCCCCGGCACAGCACTCCAGTACAATGTGCAATACCTGCACCACCCGACTGTCGAAATGGTGGAAGTATTGCACAATGTTAGGGTGCTGCAGTTCCCGGAGAATGGTTATCTCCGAGAACAACGCCTCGCGCTTGTCCTCGTCCAGCCCGTCGTAGCGGATGCCCTTAAAGGCGAACAGCTCGCCAGAGCTCTTGTCCCGCACCTTAAAAGACGTCGCGAAGGAGCCGCTGCCCATCACGCCCAGCACGTCGTAGTCGTGGAGGGTTTTCCGGCTAAAATCCGTGGAAGGTGACGCACTCATTTTTAAAACACTGGGACACGCGGGGATGCTGTACACGGGATGTATTGTTTTGATTTTAAATTCCTTTTAGTCTTCAAAATCTAGGAAAGGCATGCAAACTTCGGTACGCCGACGTTTGTATACCCTTTCAGATAGAACTTCAGCAGGGTACATCACGTACACCACGCAGCCCAGGGCCCACACGTTGCTCTTCCGGTCGGACCTCCTGCCGCGGACTAGCTCCGGACTCATGTACACCGGAGTGCCCACGAACGCAGCGTCGAAGCTCTGGTCCCGCCTCAGCATCTGGGCCGGGCCGAAATCACCCAGCTTGGCTTTGCCGGCAGCGTCCAGGAAGATGTTAGCTGGCTTAACATCCCTGTGTACGATCGCTCGGTCCGTACCGTTGTGGCAGCAGTCCAGGGCACTGCACACTTGCACGAGCACCCGCCAAATGTACGGCTCCTCGCACCGGCGTCGCTCTGCTCGCGCCCGCTCGACAAGCTGGGCGAGATCACCGCCGGCACAGCACTCCATAACAATATGCAATACCTTCACCACCCGACTGTCGAAATGGTGGAAGTATTGCACAATGTTAGGGTGCTGCAGTTCCCGAAGCATGGTTATCTCCGAGAACAACGCCTCGCGCTTGTCCTCGTCTAGCTGGTCGTAATCGATGCCTTTTAAGGCAAACACCTCGCCGGTGCTCCTCTCCTGCACCTTATAGCAGGTCGCGAAGGAGCCGCTTCCAATTTCCGCCAGCACATCGTAATCCCGAAGGCTTTTTTCCACTTGGCCACTCATGTTGCTTCAAATATTATTTGTTTATTTTTGTAAGCTTCTTCTTCCCGTTCGTTTTAGAATCAACCTAACTTCGGACGCCAAAGTCTGTATACCCTTGCAGATAGAACTTCAGCAGGGTATTATAATTTCGCACATCACGTACACCACGCAGCCCAGGGCCCACGCGTCGCTCTTCCGGTCGGACCTCCTGCCGCGGAGCAGCTCCGGACTCGTAGTCTTAATTTTTTTTTTTTTTTTTTAAGTGGGAAATTAAAAAAAAAAATTTTTTTTAAGTGGGAAATTAAAAAAAAAATTTTTTTAAGTGGGAAATTAAAAAAATATATATAAAGCTACAATTGATCAGAACTAGTTTTTCTTTTTACTGAAAGAGTTTCTTTATTTATAAAATAAATATTTGATAAGCCAAAATAAAAATAAAGATAATAAAGATTCAATTGTTATTTTACATAGAAACCCGGTATTCCAGAATTTAATTAATATCAAACTAATTAAAACTAATAACACTCACAAAAAAACGTACAAAAAATAATATATACAGTAAAACAAAGGAATATATATTCCACAGTAGTTTCCATGGCTCCTGAACTCACAAAAAACGTACAAAAAAATAATATATAAAGTAAGGTAAAAAAGAAATATATATTCCACATATAATATTAAAACTGTACATCAAGCGGCCACAGCACCCAATGCTCATAACTTTAAGTTGGCCTTTAGTTTAAAACCAACCGCTAGCTTTATATAAATGTATTCCATAGCATTCCCCTCATTACACTAGTATCTCAGTTTTAAAGCAATCGGAATGAAACTTTGCAGTAAGTCTTCTATATACTCTCACCCGTATATATGTCGACTATATCATATAGCTGCCATAGGAACGATCGGAAATAAAAAAAAAAAATTATTTTTTTTTGTTTTCAAGATTTTTATCAAATTTAATATATAGCCACTTTATATTATTGTACAGTTTTGTGAACAATTTTATGAAAATCGGACGACTATATCATATAGCTGTAGAAACGAGGGTCACATGTAGAGGAACATGCAAAATTTAATTTAATTTATTTTTAATTGTATTAATTTGAACACAGAATTTTAAAATAATATGGTTTCCGCGCTGAAGGCCTTCCCGGCCAGCCACCATAGGCGGCCCTTTGGGCGTACTAGTTACCTTCATTATCTCCTGCCGCGGACTAGCTCCGGACTCATGTAGTCCGGAGTGCCCACGTCCGAAGCGTCGAGGGTTAGCTCCCTTATCATCTGGGCCAGGCCGAACTCGCCCAGTTTGGCGTTGCCGGCAGCGTCCAAGAATATGTTGGCCGGCTGCACATCTCTGTGCAGGATGGCTCCGTCAATCCTTCTGTGGCACCGATCCAGGGCACGGCACACTTGGAAGAGCACCCTCCATATGAAGCGCTCCTCCAACCGGCGTCGCTGTGTCCGCGCCCGCTCAACGAGCTGGGCGAGATCGCCGCCGGCACAGCACTCCATAACAATATGCAATACCTGCGTCGAAATGGTGGAAGTATTGCACAATGTTAGGGTGCTGCAGTTCCCGGAGAATGGTAAGCTCCGAGAACAGCGCCTCGCACTTGATCTCGTCCAGCTTGTCGTAGCCGATGCCCTTCAAGACGTACAGCTCGCCGGAGCTCTTGTCCCGCACCTTGAACAAGGTCCCGAACGAGCCGTTGCGCATCACGCCCAGCAAGTCGTAGTCGGAGGGTTTTGTTTGAGAAATCCATGCGATCCATTTTGAATGTTGAGACACGTGGGTATGCTGTGCACAGTATGTATTGTTTTGATCTTAAATTCCTTTTAGCCGGCGAGATCGCAGCCGGCACAGCACTCCATAACAATGTGCAATACCTTCATCACCCGATTGTCGAAAAGGTGGTGGTATTGCACAATACTAGGGTGCTGCAGTTCGCGGAGCATGGTTATCTCCGAGAACAACGCCTCGCACTTGACCTCGTCCAGCTTGTCGTAATTGATGCCGTTCAGGACAAACGGCTCGCCGGAGCTCTTGTCCCGCACCTTGAACAAGGTCCCGAACGAGCCGTTGCGCATCACAGCCAGAACGTCGTAGTCGTGGAGGGTTTTGTGGGAGAAATCCATGCGATCCATTTTTAATCGTTGAGACACGTGGGTATGCTGTTCACGGTATGTATTGTTTTGATTTTAAATTCCTTTTAGTCTTCAAAATCTAGGAAAGGCATGCAAACTTCGGTACGCCGACGTTTGTATACCCTTTCAGATAAAACTTCAGCAGGGTACATCACGTACACCACGCATCCCAGGGCCCACACGTCGCTCTTCCAGTCGGACCTCCTGCCGCGGACTAGCTCCGGACTCATGTACACCGGAGTGCCCACGAACGCAGCGTCGAAGCTCTGGTCCCGCCTCAGCATCTGGGCCGGGCCGAAATCACCCAGCTTGGCGTTGCCGGCAGCGTCCAGGAAGATGTTCGCCGGCTTCACGTCCCGGTGTCCCGATCGCTCGGTCCGTACCGTTGTGGCAGCAGTCCAAGGCACGGCACACTTGGACGAGCACCCGCCAAATGTAGGGCTCCTCGCACCGGCGTCGCTCTGTTCGCGCCCGCTCGACAAGCTGGGCAAGATCACTGCCGGCACAGCACTCCATTAGAATTTGCAATACCTTGGCCACCCGATTGTCGAAATGGTCATGGTATTGCACAATGTTGGGGTGCTGCAGTTCCCGGAGCGTGGTGACCTCCGAGAACAGCGCCTCGCGCTTGTCCTCGTCTAGCTGGTCGTAATCGATGCCTTTTAAGGCAAACACCTCGCCGGTGCTCCTGTCCTGCACCTTATAGCAGGTCCCGAAGGAGCCGCATCCGAGGACCGCCAGCACGTCGAAGTCCCGAAGGCTTTTTTGAACTTGGCCACTCATGTTGCTTCAAATTATTTATTTATTTTAGTCAGCTTCTTCTTCCCGTTCGTTTTAGAATCAACCTAACGCATCAATCATAATAATCAACCACGCAGCCCAGGGCCCACGCGTCGCTCTTCCAGTCGGACCTCCTGCCGCGGACTAGCTCCGGACTCATGTACACCGGAGTGCCCACGAACGCAGCGTCGAAGCTCTGGTCCCGCCTCAGCATCTGGGCCAGGCCGAAATCACCCAGCTTGGCGTTGCCGGCAGCGTCCAGGAAGATGTTAGCTGGCTTAACATCCCTGTGTACGATCGCTCGGTCCGTACCGTTGTGGCAGCAGTCCAGGGCACTGCACACTTGCACGAGCACCCGCCAAATGTACGGCTCCTCGCACCGGCGTCGCTCTGTTCGCGCCCGCTCGACAAACTGGGCGAGATCGCCCCCGGCACAGCACTCCAGTACAATGTGCAATACCTGCACCACCCGACTGTCGAAATGGTGGAAGTATTGCACAATGTTAGGGTGCTGCAGTTCCCGGAGAATGGTTATCTCCGAGAACAACGCCTCGCGCTTGTCCTCGTCCAGCCCGTCGTAGCGGATGCCCTTAAAGGCGAACAGCTCGCCAGAGCTCTTGTCCCGCACCTTAAAAGACGTCGCGAAGGAGCCGCTGCCCATCACGCCCAGCACGTCGTAGTCGTGGAGGGTTTTCCGGCTAAAATCCGTGGAAGGTGACGCACTCATTTTTAAAACACTGGGACACGCGGGGATGCTGTACACGGGATGTATTGTTTTGATTTTAAATTCCTTTTAGTCTTCAAAATCTAGGAAAGGCATGCAAACTTCGGTACGCCGACGTTTGTATACCCTTTCAGATAGAACTTCAGCAGGGTACATCACGTACACCACGCAGCCCAGGGCCCACACGTTGCTCTTCCGGTCGGACCTCCTGCCGCGGACTAGCTCCGGACTCATGTACACCGGAGTGCCCACGAACGCAGCGTCGAAGCTCTGGTCCCGCCTCAGCATCTGGGCCGGGCCGAAATCACCCAGCTTGGCTTTGCCGGCAGCGTCCAGGAAGATGTTAGCTGGCTTAACATCCCTGTGTACGATCGCTCGGTCCGTACCGTTGTGGCAGCAGTCCAGGGCACTGCACACTTGCACGAGCACCCGCCAAATGTACGGCTCCTCGCACCGGCGTCGCTCTGCTCGCGCCCGCTCGACAAGCTGGGCGAGATCACCGCCGGCACAGCACTCCATAACAATATGCAATACCTGCACCACCCGATTGTCGAAATGGTGGAAGTATTGCACAATGTTAGGGTGCTGCAGTTCCCGGAGAATGGTTATCTCCGAGAACAACGCCTCGCGCTTGTCCTCGTCTAGCTGGTCGTAATCGATGCCTTTTAAGGCAAACACCTCGCCGGTGCTCCTCTCCTGCACCTTATAGCAGGTCGCGAAGGAGCCGCTTCCAATTTCCGCCAGCACATCGTAATCCCGAAGGCTTTTTTCCACTTGGCCACTCATGTTGCTTCAAATATTATTTGTTTATTTTTGTAAGCTTCTTCTTCCCGTTCGTTTTAGAATCAACCTAACTTCGGACGCCAAAGTCTGTATACCCTTGCAGATAGAACTTCAGCAGGGTATTATAATTTCGCACATCACGTACACCACGCAGCCCAGGGCCCACGCGTCGCTCTTCCGGTCGGACCTCCTGCCGCGGAGCAGCTCCGGACTCGTAGTCTTAATTTTTTTTTTTTTTTTTAAGTGGGAAATTAAAAAAAAAATTTTTTTAAGTGGGAAATTAAAAAAAATTTTTTTTAAGTGGGAAATTAAAAAAATATATATAAAGCTACAATTGATCAGAACTAGTTTTTCTTTTTACTGAAAGAGTTTCTTTATTTATAAAATAAATATTTGATAAGCCAAAATAAAAATAAAGATAATAAAGATTCAATTGTTATTTTACATAGAAACCCGGTATTCCAGAATTTAATTAATATCAAACTAATTAAAACTAATAACACTCACAAAAAAACGTACAAAAAATAATATATACAGTAAAACAAAGGAATATATATTCCACAGTAGTTTCCATGGCTCCTGAACTCACAAAAAACGTACAAAAAAATAATATATAAAGTAAGGTAAAAAAGAAATATATATTCCACATATAATATTAAAACTGTACATCAAGCGGCCACAGCACCCAATGCTCATAACTTTAAGTTGGCCTTTAGTTTAAAACCAACCGCTAGCTTTATATAAATGTATTCCATAGCATTCCCCTCATTACACTAGTATCTCAGTTTTAAAGCAATCGGAATGAAACTTTGCAGTAAGTCTTCTATATACTCTCACCCGTATATATGTCGACTATATCATATAGCTGCCATAGGAACGATCGGAAATAAAAAAAAAAAATTATTTTTTTTTGTTTTCAAGATTTTTATCAAATTTAATATATAGCCACTTTATATTATTGTACAGTTTTGTGAACAATTTTATGAAAATCGGACGACTATATCATATAGCTGTAGAAACGAGGGTCACATGTAGAGGAACATGCAAAATTTAATTTAATTTATTTTTAATTGTATTAATTTGAACACAGAATTTTAAAATAATATGGTTTCCGCGCTGAAGGCCTTCCCGGCCAGCCACCATAGGCGGCCCTTTGGGCGTACTAGTTACCTTCATTATCTCCTGCCGCGGACTAGCTCCGGACTCATGTAGTCCGGAGTGCCCACGTCCGAAGCGTCGAGGGTTAGCTCCCTTATCATCTGGGCCAGGCCGAACTCGCCCAGTTTGGCGTTGCCGGCAGCGTCCAAGAATATGTTGGCCGGCTGCACATCTCTGTGCAGGATGGCTCCGTCAATCCTTCTGTGGCACCGATCCAGGGCACGGCACACTTGGAAGAGCACCCTCCATATGAAGCGCTCCTCCAACCGGCGTCGCTGTGTCCGCGCCCGCTCAACGAGCTGGGCGAGATCGCCGCCGGCACAGCACTCCATAACAATATGCAATACCTGCGTCGAAATGGTGGAAGTATTGCACAATGTTAGGGTGCTGCAGTTCCCGGAGAATGGTAAGCTCCGAGAACAGCGCCTCGCACTTGATCTCGTCCAGCTTGTCGTAGCCGATGCCCTTCAAGACGTACAGCTCGCCGGAGCTCTTGTCCCGCACCTTGAACAAGGTCCCGAACGAGCCGTTGCGCATCACAGCCAGCACGTCGTAGTCGGAGGGTTTTGTTTGAGAAATCCATGCGATCCATTTTTGAATGTTGAGACACGTGGGTATGCTGTTCACGGTATGTATTGTTTTGATCTTAAATTCCTTTTAGTCTTTTAAGTCTTCAGAATCAAGGAAAGGAATGCAAACTTTGGCACGCCGACGTTTGTATACCCTTTCAGATAGAACTTCGATGACTAGGAATCAATACATATCAATTATATATATTTATGTTAAAAAACAATGAAGTAATACCTGCTTTCATTTCATTCGCCTATACATGTTATATTTGCAGTTTTACCTTCACAGATTCGCAGTTTTCCTCTACATCTAACGATCGTTATATGGCACCTAAATGATATAGTCGTCCGATTTCAAAAAATTTGACACAAAATTTAAGACTATTATAAAATGGCTATATGTCAAATTTGATAAAAATCTGTTGCAAACTGAAAAAGTTCTTATTTATTAATTTATAAATTAATTTATTTTGAATTGTACTAATTTCTAAACACAAAATTTTATAATAATATAAAATGGCTTTAAGGGTAATTCTATGAAAATATGTGTTTAAAACTAAAAATATAATATAATATAATATAATATAATTGTTAATTGTATTAACTGCAACTTCAACAATCGACGGAGCTGGGCTGGAAGTTGGCCTGGTTGCTTGGCGAGGCGATCGAGTAGAGCCAGGTAGACCTCGCACCTGGGCAGTTTGCGGGAAAGGGCCATCTCTTCCAGTAGGCGCCAGGCCAGCTCAGCACGTTCCTGGTGAAGCGAGCAACATCAATGCCACCTATTTGCAGCATTTTAGATGTCATTTGTTGCTTCGCCTCTTCGTTTGATAGTAAGAGCGTGTCAAACTCTCGGAGCCCCTCCATTGTGCCAAATGGTAAGTTTGGCAACGAATATGGAGAGGAACAAGGATCTTCTTCTGAAAAAAAGCGCCAATTTGATGAATATATCATATAATAATAATATAATATAATATAGAGCAGGCAGTAAAAGTACTCACCAGCCTCGACCAGGTTCGGGAAACCGCCGCCCAGCTCGCTGACATTCCGGACCACCAACGGATGCAGCAAGAACACCTCGACGCCGGGACGCTGTTCACGATCTACGGCCAGCATAGCTGAGATGGTCTCCTGTAGATCGGAACAATAGACGGCAGGAATTCGAAGAAACACGCCCTGGACTATCCTTTCGCACAGCTCATGGAATGGTGGACGCAGGGCGCACATCTCATACACCACGCATCCCAGGGCCCACACGTCGCTCTTCCAGTCGGACCTCCTGCCGCGGACTAGCTCCGGACTCATGTACACCGGAGTGCCCACGAACGCAGCGTCGAAGCTCTGGTCCCGCCTCAGCATCTGGGCCAGGCCGAAATCACCCAGCTTGGCGTTGCCGGCAGCGTCCAGGAAGATGTTAGCTGGCTTAACATCCCTGTGTACGATCGCTCGGTCCGTACCGTTGTGGCAGCAGTCCAGGGCACTGCACACTTGCACGAGCACCCGCCAAATGTACGGCTCCTCGCACCGGCGTCGCTCTGTTCGCGCCCGCTCGACAAGCTGGGCGAGATCGCCCCCGGCACAGCACTCCAAAACAATGTGCAATACCTGCACCACCCGACTGTCGAAATGGTGGAAGTATTGCACAATGTTAGGGTGCTGCAGTTCCCGGAGAATGGTTATCTCCGAGAACAACGCCTCGCGCTTGTCCTCGTCCAGCCCGTCGTAGCGGATGCCCTTCAAGGCGAACAGCTCGCCAGAGCTCTTGTCCCGCACCTTAAAACACGTCGCGAAGGAGCCGCTGCCCATCACGCCCAGCACGTCGTAGTCGTGGAGGGTTTTCCGGCTAAAATCCGTGGAAAGTGACGCACTCATTTTTAAAACACTGGGACACGCGGGGATGCTGTACACGGGAGGTATTGTTTTGATTTTAAATTCCTTTTAGTCTTCAAAATCTAGGAAAGGCATGCATACTTCGGTACGCCGACGTTTGTATACCCTTTCAGAAAGAACTTCAGCAGGGTACATCACGTACACCACGCAGCCCAGGGCCCACACGTTGCTCTTCCAGTCGGACCTCCTGCCGCGGACTAGCTCCGGACTCATGTACAACGGAGTGCCCACGAACGCAGCGTCGAAGCTCTGGTCCCGCCTCAGCATCTGGGCCAGGCCGAAATCACCCAGCTTGGCTTTGCCGGCAGCGTCCAGGAAGATGTTAGCTGGCTTAACATCCCTGTGTACGATCGCTCGGTCCGTACCGTTGTGGCAGCAGTCCAGGACACGGCACACTTGGACGAGCACCCGCCAAATGTAGGGCTCCTCGCACCGGCGTCGCTCTGCTCGCGCCCGTCGACAAGCTGGGCGAGATCACCGCCGGCACAGCACTCCATAACAATATGCAATACCTGCACCACCCGATTGTCGAAATGGTGGAAGTATTGCACAATGTTAGGGTGCTGCAGTTCCCGGAGAATGGTTATCTCCGAGAACAGCGCCTCGCACTTGACTTTGTCCAACTTGTAGTAGCGGATGCCCTTCAAGACGAACAGCTCGCCGGAGCTCTTGTCCCGCACCTTGAACAAGGCCCCGAACAAGCCGTTGCGCATCACAGCCAGCACGTCGTAGTCGTGGAGGGTTTTTCCGTTGAAGTCCATGGAATTGGTTGCAGACGCGCTCATTTTTGTGTTTATTTTTAATTAATTTTAATCTGCTTCCCGATTCTGTATTCCTTTAAGTCTTCATTGATTAGATTTTAGTTGTATACTACCACTAAGCAAGAAATACATAGAAGAGTCAAACAGTACCAAAAAGTACTACATATCACAAAACCGCTGAGCCTGGAACCCGAGAGCACCCGAACGATATATCTAGAACCCCAGAGTGCGTTCGGCTATTTCGAGTTTGAAGCATTCGTTCGAAACCGTTCGAAGCGCAACAAGAATTCACTTTTCAGTGGCAGATTAGAGGTGGAGAACTATCGATAGTCGTCGCCATCGATAGTGAGCGATTATTTTTCTCAAACCATCGATAGTTCTATCGGTAGTGTGATGCTTTTTAATTGTTAAATGTAAAAAAGCTATAAAATGAAATTTTAACAAAACTTTATTATATTTTAACTCTTTAAAAATAAAAATTCATTTAATTTGTTGCTTCATTATATTTTTAATTCTTAAGTAAACTGGGCTTAGGACCTACGTTAATAACTAGCCTTTTTTTGATTAGGGATTGTATAAAAAGTACATCGTCGAACTGCGCATTCAAGCGGAAAAGAAGTACAAAACTAATTCTTTTTCAAAAAGAGCATTAGGAGATTTTTACTTTCAGCTATACTTTTGCTTTTCACTATATTTTTGCGTTCCGCTTTCAACTTTATTTTTTCTTTGTGATGTGAGAAGCCGCGTGCAAGACTATCGATAGTGCAGGGCTGCCATCGATGGCGGTGCGATAGCGCCAAACCATCGATAGTGTCGATAGTGCCATCAATAGTTCTCCACCTCTATGGCAGATCGACCGTGCAACGATGAGCGTGGATGCGTTTATTTGCGCTGTGCTCTCGTTTTTGCTTATGTGTGTATATGTGTACAAGCGCTCGCACGTTTGTATGCGTGTTAAAATTTCTGCATGCAATCTTTTTCATCGATTTCGGACGACCTCAGACAGTACGCCAAAGCGGTGGCTCAATTGCTTATGACGTCACAGCAATACTAAGCGTTTTAAAATTTAAACTGTATTCCTAAAACTTTTCACACCTAGTTAATGTTTTTAGCTTTTTTTTGATGTAAGCACATTCCCGTGATTGCTGGCTCTCTGCATATCTCGTTTCTTTTCGTTCATGGAAGGAGGATCGTGCTGTCGCCCTCTCTCTCGTGCAGAGCCTAACATTTGGCTAATCTTGTTCTCTCACTTCCACCCCCACTGCGGAGAAAAGGTCTAGTGCTGGCCACCTGCCGCCTGGCCGCTAGATCTGGCTAAAAGTTTTGGAAAATAGCTAGATTCCTTGTGAGTTAATATAAGATGAGAGCTAGTACGAAATATAATATATTGTTTGAAGACCAAATAATTAAAAACAATATTATTGCCAAAATGCTTAGTCAATTAGGTTTTCGGTTAAATTAGATTTTAGTTGTTTACTTCATAACTTGGTTGAATCGCCTAACTTCGTAATACTGTCGATGGTAAAATTCCATAAGAATTATACACATATGTGTATATACATTTTTTAAAATTGCTAAGATAAAATCGCTTTAGCACATTCATTAAAGTAACTTTAGTCTGCGTTTTAAAATTTAAACTGTGTTCCTAAAACTAATCACACCTAGTTGTTAATGTTTTTAGCTTTTTTTTTTATGTCAGCACTGTTCCGTGATTGCTGGCTCTCTGCATATCTCGTTTCTTTTCATTCATGGAAGGAGGATCGTGCTGTCGCCCTCTCTCTCGTGCAGAGCCTAACACTTGGCTAATCTTGTTCTCTCACTTCCACCCCCACTGCGGAGAAAAGGTCTAGTGCTGGTCACCTGCCGCCTGCCCGCTCGATCTGGCTAAGAGTTTTGGAAAATAGCTAGATTCCTTGTGAGTTAATATAAGATGAGAGCTGGTACGAAAAAAAATATATTGTTTATAGGCCAAATAATTAAAAAACAATATTAATGCCAAAATGCTTAGTCAATTAGGTTTTCGGTTTGGTTTTATACTACATAACTAAGCTGTACCACCGAACTTTGAAATACTTTTGAAATTAAAATATATCCAACAAAGATTATAGATAAATTTCTTGAAAAGAAAGAAAATATTAAAAACAAGATAACGATCTGGATGCCTAGTTAATTAAGCCCTCGCCATAAATTCGATTTTAGTTGTATACTACATAGCTTGGCTGAGTCGCCTAACTTCGTAATACTTTTGATGGTAAAATTTCTCAAGAATTATACACATATGTATATATAAATTTCTTAAAATTGCTAACATCCATTAAAGTAAATTTAGCCTTCGTTTTAAATTTAAACTGTATTTCTGAAACTTTTCACAACTAGTTGTTTTTAGCTTTTTTTTGATGTCAGCACTGTTCCGTGATTGCTGGCTCTCTGCATATCTCGTTTCTTTTCGTTCATGGAAGGAGGATCGTGCTGTCGCCCTCTTTCTCTTGTGCGGATCCTAACACTTGGTCAATCTTGTTCTCTCACTCCCACCCCCACTGCGGAGAAAAGGTCTAGTGCTGGCCACCTGCCGCCTGCCCGCTAGATCTGGCTAAGAGTTCTGGAAAATAGCTAGATTCCTTGTGAGTTAATCCAAGATACGATCTAGAACGAAAAAAAATATATTGTTTATAGGCCAAATAATTAGAAGCAATATTTCTGCCAGAATGCTTAGTCAATTAGGTTTTCGGTTTGGTTCTATACCACATAAATAGGGGTACCACCGAAATTTGTATCACTTTTGAAAGTAAAATATATCCAACATACATTATAGATAAATTTCTTGAAAAGAAAGAAAATATTAAAAACAAGATAACGATCTGGATGCCTAGTTAATTAAGCCCTCGCCATAAATTCGATTTTAGTTGTATACTACATAACTTGGTTGAGTCGCTTAACTTCGTAATACTTTTGATGGTAAAATTTCTCAAGAATTATACACATATGTATATATAAATTTCTTAAAATTGCTAACATCCATTAAAGTAAATTTAGCCTTCGTTTTAAAATTTAAACTGTATTTCTGAAACTTTTCACAACTAGTTGTTTTTAGCTTTTTTCGATGTCAGCACTGTTCCGTGATTGCTGGCTCTCTGCATATCTCGTTTCTTTTCGTTCATGGAAGGAGGATCGTGCTGTCGCCCTCTTTCTCTTGTGCGGATCCTAACACTTGGTCAATCTTGTTCTCTCACTCCCACCCCACTGCGGAGAAAAGGTCTAGTGCTGGCCATCTGCCGCCTGCCCGCTAGATCTGGCTAAGAGTTCTGGAAAATAGCTAGATTCCTTGTGAGTTAATTCAAGATACGATCTAGAACGAAAAAAAATATATTGTTTATAGGCCAAATAATTAGAAGCAATATTTCTGCCAGAATGCTTAGTCAATTAGGTTTTCGGTTTGGTTCTATACCACATAAATAGGGGGTACCACCGAAATTTGTATCACTTTTGAAAGTAAAATATATCCAACATACATTATAGATAAATTTCTTGAAAAGAAAGAAAATATTAAAAACAAGATAACGATCTGGATGCCTAGTTAATTAAGCCCTCGCCATAAATTCGATTTTAGTTGTATACTACATAGCTTGGCTGAGTCGCCTAACTTCGTAATACTTTTGATGGTAAATTTCTCAAGAATTATACACATATGTATATATAAATTCTTAAAATTGCTAACATCCATTAAAGTAAATTTAGCCTTCGTTTTAAAATTTAAACTGTATTTCTGAAACTTTTCACACCTAGTTAATGTTTTTAGCTTTTTTTGATGTAAGCACATTCCCGTGATTGCTGGCTCTCTGCATATCTCGTTTCTTTTCGTTCATGGAAGGAGGATCGTGCTGTCGCCCTCTCTCTCGTGCAGAGCCTAACATTTGGCTAATCTTGTTCTCTCACTTCCACCCCCACTGCGGAGAAAAGGTCTAGTGCTGGCCACCTGCCGCCTGGCCGCTAGATCTGGCTAAAAGTTTTGGAAAATAGCTAGATTCCTTGTGAGTTAATATAAGATGAGAGCTAGTACGAAATATAATATATTGTTTGAAGACCAAATAATTAAAAACAATATTATTGCCAAAATGCTTAGTCAATTAGGTTTTCGGTTAAATTAGATTTTAGTTGTTTACTTCATAACTTGGTTGAATCGCCTAACTTCGTAATACTGTCGATGGTAAAATTCCATAAGAATTATACACATATGTGTATATACATTTTTTAAAATTGCTAAGATAAAATCGCTTTAGCACATTCATTAAAGTAACTTTAGCCTGCGTTTTAAAATTTAAACTGTGTTCCTAAAACTAATCACACCTAGTTGTTAATGTTTTTAGCTTTTTTTTATGTCAGCACTGTTCCGTGATTGCTGGCTCTCTGCATATCTCGTTTCTTTTCATTCATGGAAGGAGGATCGTGCTGTCGCCCTCTCTCTCATGCGGATCCTAACACTTGGTCAATCTTGTTTTCTCACTCCCACCCCCACTGCGGAGAAAAGGTCTAGTGCTGGCCATCTGCCGCCTGCCCGCTAGATCTGGCTAAGAGTTCTGGAAAATAGCTAGATTCCTTGTGAGTTAATTCAAGATACGATCTAGAACGAAAAAAATATATTGTTTATAGGCCAAATAATTAGAAGCAATATTTCTGCCAGAATGCTTAGTCAATTAGGTTTTCGGTTTGGTTCTATACCACATAAATAGGGGGTACCACCGAAATTTGTATCACTTTTGAAAGTAAAATATATCCAACATACATTATAGATAAATTTCTTGAAAAGAAAGAAAATATTAAAAACAAGATAACGATCTGGATGCCTAGTTAATTAAGCCCTCGCCATAAATTCGATTTTAGTTGTATACTACATAGCTTGGCTGAGTCGCCTAACTTCGTAATACTTTTGATGGTAAAATTTCTCAAGAATTATACACATATGTATATATAAATTTCTTAAAATTGCTAACATCCATTAAAGTAAATTTAGCCTTCGTTTTAAAATTTAAACTGTATTTCTGAAACTTTTCACAACTAGTTGTTTTTAGCTTTTTTTCGATGTCAGCACTGTTCCGTGATTGCTGGCTCTCTGCATATCTCGTTTCTTTTCGTTCATGGAAGGAGGATCGTGCTGTCGCCCTCTTTCTCTTGTGCGGATCCTAACACTTGGTCAATCTTGTTCTCTCACTCCCACCCCCACTGCGGAGAAAAGGTCTAGTGCTGGCCACCTGCCGCCTGCCCGCTAGATCTGGCTAAGAGTTCTGGAAAATAGCTAGATTCCTTGTGAGTTAATCCAAGATACGATCTAGAACGAAAAAAAATATATTGTTTATAGGCCAAATAATTAGAAGCAATATTTCTGCCAGAATGCTTAGTCAATTAGGTTTTCGGTTTGGTTCTATACCACATAAATAGGGGGTACCACCGAAATTTGTATCACTTTTGAAAGTAAAATATATCCAACATACATTATAGATAAATTTCTTGAAAAGAAAGAAATATTAAAAACAAGATAACGATCTGGATGCCTAGTTAATTAAGCCCTCGCCATAAATTCGATTTTAGTTGTATACTACATTAATACTTTTGATGGTAAAATTTCTCAAGAATTATACACATATGTATATATAAATTTCTTAAAATTGCTAACATCCATTATAGTAACTTTAGCCTTCGTTTTAAAATTTAAACTGTATTTCTAAACTTTTCACACCTAGTTGTTTTTAGCTTTTTTTCGATGTCAGCACTATCCCTTGATTGCTGGCTCTCTGCATATCTCGTTTCTTTTCGTTCATGGAAGGAGGATCGTGCTGTCGCCCTCTCTCTCGTGCAGAGCCTAACACTTGGCTAATCTTGTTCTCTCACTTCCACCCCCGCTGCGTTTATGCACTTGTTGTGGCGAAAATCAGGAAAATCCGCTCACCCCACCTCCTCTGATCCTACTGTGCCTGTGTGCCTACAGACAATGAGAAAGAAATAGAAGGAGCACGCCCAAAGTGCACAATTCCACGGATTCATCATCCCTCGATCCCTGAGCCGAAACCCTAACCCTGGCCATTAAATAAATTAGTTTTGTTGCATTAGCATTTCAATTATTGTGTATGTGCTCATATATATACATACATATGTATGTATATTCATATTTGGAGGGGGCATCATTCTAACGGTTTCGGTCAAGAGTACACAGCAAGAAATTACTGAACGTGCTCATAACATTTTCTTCAATTAAAAGAAAAAATGAATAATTAATAATTCTATTTTGATATTTTTGTTTATGCTACACTTTCAGCATTTAATTTGCAATTAACTATAATTATATATGATTTTATGAGCAGGTCTAAGCATTGTTTGTTGGAATTTGTACGTTAAAAATTAACAAAAAAAAACCTATGCTTCGGGGAATCAAATTTTATATATGTACATATATACAATTGTATTTTGTTACTTGTTTATTGGAAATAACTAAGCCAAAAATGCATTGATTTATATTCTGAAAACTGTTGTGTGCTTAGGTTGACAAATAAAAACATTGTGTTTTAACTATAAAAACTGAATTAGGTTAAATTCTTAAAGCTTACATGTGTTATATTGGTTAATAAATTAGTATATGGTATATAAATCAGTTTGCAATATTATAAAATTGTACATTTTTGGGTTTTTGACTATTTTACGATTTTTAAAAATGGAGTACATTTTCTATATGTTTTCTTAATACTGTATTTCTAAATAATTAAGATTATAATGGCGAATCCAAATATATATGGAAATCATTAGATTTTTGTCACATGACTATCTAGGGACTTAGATTTAACATTTTATATAATTTTTGTAAATCAAAGTTAAAAATTATTTAGAATGGAGCTAAATAAGATATATTTTCTATTCGGAAAGCTGTTTCTTATTATTTTATTCAAATTAACAAATCTAAATATTGGAATTTACTGCGTTGCAAGCTTCTGACTAAAATTATAATACCCTGCAAGGGTATGAAACGATAGAAGAAAAATAAAAAATGTATTATTCAGAGCTCGCAAATAACTGTCGACCGATTTTTTTCTTGCGCTCTCGTTGCGAGCACAACCAAAAAAGTTCATACTCTCTCGCTCTCGCTCTGAGCAAAAGACTCTTGCTGTATTCTTTTATGTTTTCTGTTGAACGTTTTCGTTGAGCTCTTTGTGTGTCGCTCTTTCAATGAGCATTACCTAAAGAGCGAAACGAGAAACGCTCGCACAATGAGTCAGCAAAAGACCGATTGACCGAAAAACTCAACGCAAACGGTCTTTGCATTTACTTTCGTTGTTGTTGCTTGCCTATGCGTGTGAGTGTATACCAATCCATATGCAAAAGACTTTTTGCTTCACTGAACACGACAAAACGGTCTTGGAACAACCAGAACAAAACAGAATTAAAAAAACGTTTTCGCTCTGAGCGCGAGCGAGCTCATTAAAGCACTCTTATTTCGGTTGCTCTCTGAGTTTTTTCGTAGTGTCAGGAAAAGACCTATTTGCAGACAACGAGAAACGGTCGACAGTTATTTGCGAGCTCTGGTATTATTTCAAAACGTGAGAAATGCTATAATCAGCGAACAAAATATTAAACTTGATCCGCAGTTTGTTTTTACAGAATTCCCTATAAACAATAATATTAAAAACTAAATAAAAAACTGAGTGCTTGCTTTTCTTGTTCGCCATATGTGTAGTAGGAGTCATATGGCTAACAAGAAACGTAGCTATGTATGTATGTACATAAAACAATAAAAATCGGATAAATACAAATTTTTCCTTTAAATATATATTCCACTAACGAGCTAAATACCATCAATTGATCTATGTACAAAGTTTTCCCTTAAATATACATATATCCACTAACGAGCCAAATACCATCAATACATCTATGTTACATCTCTCAGCATACGCCATAGAACGAATCCAGGCAGAATCCTTAGAAAAACGAGTTATCTCGAGATTTTCGGGCTTATCGTTGGCCTTGTGCTGATGGTTCCTTCACAAATAAATCGCGTCTCCGGTAGGTTCGCCCCCTAAACCGCAGAGTTTAAGGCAGGTAAACATAGATCCTCGCACATTTCTCCGGTTTATTGTTGTTTAACAGTGAAGAAATAAATAAAAACATGGGATTACACTAGACGGATATTTCCGAGATGAGCTGGTTTACCACGACGGCGCCTTGTCATCTCCGGAGCGGCCGTACAGAGCGCTCTTGTCCCGGAACATGGTCATCCGTTCCGTCTCCTTCTTGTCCAGAAAGTGTCCGATGGCGAAACCGAGCAGGGGCAGGGCTCCCCACAGAGCCCGCTTGTCCAGGCCGAGAACCATATTGGGATGTACTATTTCCTTAACTCTGACTCCTGAGCTGCGCGCTGCGTGCCAACTGAAGCTGCTGGCGTTTCCACTCGCGGGTATGCGACCAATCTGCGTAAATCGATCCGACTGCAACAGTGGGAAAGAATATCACTGCGCCGTACTTTCGAGCCAATTGCACCGCAATCCCACTGCCCATGGGTCTGCAACACAAACACGGATTAATGATTATAAGGCTTATGAAATAGGGAAATGGAGTGGTAGTTTTGTTTTGCGACCGCTTGTCTGGGTTACGTAATGAAACTGCTCGAGTTCCGGACCGCGTCGTGTTAATTCCGTGCCAATTAATGTCCCGGGTACCTCCCAACGGATGCGGTAGTACGGGTTAAAGAAGCCAGGTGATTTACCTAATAATTGTGGCTGCAATTGCAAAATTAGTTTTTGTTTTCGACGTACTTACTTGATGTCAGTGTTTTATCGGCCACGGGCTATCGATAACTGCTGGGCGGCGCTGCCAACTTGTTTAGCTGGGAGCAAAAAGTCGCTAGAATATATTTCTTAATAATTCATTTAAGTAAAAAATGGAAATGCTTCCAGCGGACAACGAATAAGAAACGTTTTGCTTAATTTTAATCAATTCTTTAACTAGAGCTTTGTTGCTATTTTGAGAATCAGCTTATCAAAACCAAACTACTCCACTCTTGTACCGAACAATACCAAAAACTATAAAACCATGTTTACGTTTATCTTCTAATTGGGAAATTCACGATGCCGGGCAGAAATTATCAAACCATTCATCGGTGTATCGATTTATCGATATTGGGATTAGATCAGACGCCCTCTAGTTTATTAAGGACTAGAGGTGGATAAACATCGATGTTCACGGACATCGAAGTTTTTGGCGAAACATCGATGTTTTAAATAAACAAAATTAGCAGTTATTTTAGTGTATTTTAACTTTATTTTAATTTGTAATGTTTAAAAATTAAAAGTCAAATTTTTAACAAAATATATATATGAGCTTATCGACAACGGTCTATGATAGCCGCGTGCGACGCTCACTTATAAGTTGTCCAGCTGAAAACATTTTCAGATTCGCACGATGAAGCGGGAACGCTGAAGTATTGGAAAAACATCGATGTTGCCCCGCTAAGCATCGATGTTGCCGATGTTTCGAAAACATCGATGTCATCGATTTTCGCATCGATGTTTCTCCACCTCTATTAAAGACTTTTCACGTACAAAGTTTGTACTACAAAGTATCACAATACATTGCCAAGGCCACGCTTACCATATTTCGATCCACTTTCCATGGAGTGTTAATGGGCTTCAGGGGCTCAGCTTGCGGCACAGCCAAGTTGGCAGGCACCTCAAAGCTGTCCGAGGGATGCTGCGTATACGCTTCACAGTAGGGCACGTGCCAGATGTCACCGGCGATCTCGTGGGCGCACAGCCTGTGACGGATGGGCTCCTTGACTATGACTGGCCCGACTGGGTTTGAATGACCAGCGAGAGCTGGTGCTCTTGCTGCCAGCGCCGAAAGATGGGCTTCAATTCTGGCCCTAGGTGGAAGGCGTGGCTGCGCATTAGGTCGCGGGAGAAGAAGTCCGTCTCTTGGCCGCTGCGCAGCGTGGCATAGAACAGGAAAGAATCGTCCTGAGATAGATTGTTGGTGAGTGAGAGGCGGGCATTGTTCTGGACGTAGTGCATAGCCTTTTTGGACCAGCTGCGCATGTGTTCACGTCCCAGAACTAGAACTCGCTTGTCCTGATCCCGAAAGTGTCGCACCACGGTGGCCACTAGCTTGGCCAGCTGCTGGGGCGACTACTCCCCGTGGAGTAGGCCACGTTAAGGCCATCGATCACACAGTCGTAGAGCGCCGTCCGCTCCACATATTTCTTGAACCGAGCCACCTCTTCGGGCGAGGATCGTTCAAAGACGTCGCGAGATATCAGCACTCGCTCCAGGAAGCACTCGCTAAGCTGCCGAAACTGCTCGTTAGTGTTGGCCACCGGCTGGAGGTGATGCTGGCAAGCCTGGCACTTGCCCAGAGCTCCAGTTGCGTGACTTTGGCCTCTAGGATGATGGTCCAGGTCCCGCAGTCGCTCTGCAACTCGCTGGCTGACTAGAATCTCGTGGTGCTCGAGGAACTGCAACTTCAACAATCGACGGAGCTGGGCTGGAAGTTGGCCTGGTTGCTAGGAGTCAATACAATACAAGATGTATATATATATGTTAAAAAACAGTGAAGTAATACCTGATTTCATTTCATTCATATGTATATATAATATGTATAATATTTGCAGTTTTACCTTCACAGATTTGCATTTTTCCTCCACATATAACGATCGTTTATATGGCACCTATATTATATAGACGACCGATTTTCATAACATTTGACACAAAAGTTAAGACTAATATAAAATGGCTATATCTCAAATTTGATGAAAATCGGTTGCAAACTGAAAAAGTTATTTTTTATTATTTATTATAATTTAATTTATTTTTAATTGTATTAATTTCTACACAAAAAATATGAAATGGCTTTAAATTCAATTTGAAGAAAATCTGTTGCAAACTGAAAAAGTTCTTTTTTATTAATTTATATTATAAAAACTAAATGTTTTAATTGTATTAATTTCTCGATCGTTTCTATGAGCGATTAATGATTTAGTAGTCCGATTTTCATAAAAATTAACACAGAATTGTAGAATAATATAAAATGGCTATATCTTAAATTCGATCAAATTCTGTTAAAAACTAAAAATGTTATAATTTTTTTTGTAAACATTTTCATATCAGTCCTATGGCAGCTATATGATATAGTCGTCCGATCCGGCCCGTTCCGACATATATACGAGTAAGAGTATATAGAAAATTAAATACAAAGTTTAATTCAGATAGCTTAAAAACTGAGAGACTAGTTTGCGTAGAAACGGACAGACGGACATAGCTAGATCGACTCGGCTGGTGATCCTGATCAAGAATATATATACGTTATTTGGTCGGAGGTGCCCCCTTCTCTGCGTTACAAACTTCTGACTGAAATCATAATACCCCGCAAGGGTATAAAAATACAACTGTTTTTGGTAGAGTTGTCGAGAAATCAAAATATCAATATGGTGTTGATAAAATTGTTTTTTATTTGTGACAAGTGGAAAGGGAGAAACGGACAAGTGCTGGCCACCTGCCGCCTGCGCGCTAAATCTGGGTAAAAGTCCAGGAATATAGCTTCTTGACAAGACTCTTCTTGGTTTGCGGGGTCAAAGAGCCTCCTCGTTCCGACGGCCGGATCTACAGCTTCTCAGGCAGCAGAATAGAGGAGGCACCACCGCCGCCATTGCACATGGCTGCTCCTCCGTCGTTCAATGTGGAGGCATTTTCGCTCTGGGAAACGGTGGCCAGCGGGCCAAACTTATCGAAGTTGTATTCCTCGTCCTCGGCAACTGCATCTTCACGGGCACGCCGCCGCAGAACGCTTGTAGAGCTGGAGCTTCTTGGCCGTGTGGACTTCGAATAGGCCACCAAAGACCGCCATAGGGTGTGGCACCGCATTGCCCATGATCTCCTCCTGGACATCGCATTTTTCAATCCCCGATGGAGTTTCGATGATTCGGACCTGGTTCTGCCATACGACGTGAAGTTCTCCAAGCATTTCGTGGCCCGGCTGAGAAAGGTGACCAGACCCAGGATTTGGGACAGACGCTCCTGGGGACCAGGCCGCAGTCGGCGGGCAACAGTTTAAGTGGGATTAAACAAACGGGAGGTAAGTAAGGAGACGCTAATAGTTATTCCATATTCTTACATTTCCTTATGCTCTATTACAGCCATGCCCAAGACTCCGGTCGGATCGTTTATGGCCAGAAGCAACACCACTGGCTTGGCCAACATGTCGAAGTTCGGGCTCAGTCAGTCGCAGTCCTTCAGCGGAGTCCTCGGTCAATCCAAGTAAGTTTCTGAAATCGACAAGCGCATGGAATGTATTCTAAAGTAAAAACACATCTCTCTCCTCCAGTCGCGCCTCCTTGGGAACTCCGTTGAGCCAGCTCCAAAGTAGCATTAGCCAGCAGTCCATGTCCATGAAGCCAGCGAAACCGATCGAGCCGGAGTTGTGTTTGGAGCACATCTGGACGGAGAACATCTACGGAGTGTAAGTGCTACCCTGGACATCCTTGAACTGCATTCTATTTCATCTCTGCCCTTCAGACAACGTGAACTGTGCGAGATGGCCACCCGAGCCTTCATCCACACGGATTTGGTGGGCCAGACATTTCTGTGCTACCTGCTCGCCCGCTCCTGCCGCCTCCAGATGGTCCGCCTCACTGGCTATGGAAGCAGTGAAGTGCAGCTCTCCACACTGGCCACGACTCTGGCAGCCAAGGATGCTGTGGGTCTGAATGTAAATGGTCGCAGTCCTCGATCCTAGCGGTAGCCTAATTCTCTACACCGGAACCGTGCTCATCGGTTCATTATGCTATTTAATTTTTATGTTACATATAAGCCCAGCATTCCAGAATTTAGTTAATATCATAGGCAAATTGCACAAAGTTTGGCCCCAAAAAGTTGTAATCTTAAAAGTAAAACCACTTACAAAAAACGTAAAAAAAATTATTAATTATTAAGTAAACAAAAGGAATATATATTCCACAGTTTCGACTAGTTTCCACGGTTTCCAGGGCTAATGCACTCCACAATCTCACCTCCACAAATGATTTCATTTTATAAGATTTTCTGCTGTATTTTAGTTTTCTGAAATAGAAATATATAAATATTAAATATAAATATATATATATATATATTATATATTTAAAATACATATTTGTCAAATAAGTCTTCCAAAGTATTCTTAAATATATATATATTAAATATATATATTTATTTAATTTTAAACATATATATACTTATATAAATTTATATAAAATAAGTCTTCCAACAATTGGCGATCGCCAAAGTATTCCTATATAAGTATTTATTTATAAGTATTCCTCCGCAAAGCCAAACTCACCCATAAAATCTAGCCTTTAAAAATTTAAACATTAAAACATATTTAATCGAGCGGCCACAGAAGCCAATGCTCATAATTTTAAGTTAGCCTTTAGTTTATAACTAACCGCTAGCTTTATATAAATAAAAAATACATTTATAAGTATTTTTATTATTTTTTAAAATTTATTTTAAGTATATATATATATACATATAAATATATATAAAATATTTAAAACATCCTCCTCCATTCTCCTTCCGGACTACCATAAAATTTAAGACTAATATAAAAGGCCATATCTCAAATTGATGAAAATCTGTTGCAAACTGAAAAAGTTATTATCTATTAATTTATAATATAATTTATTTTGTATTGTATTGTATTAATTTCTACACAAACTTGTATAAATGGCTCAATATGATATAGTCGTCGGATTTCCATAAAATTAGACACAAAATTTAAGACGAATATATAATGGCTATATCTCAAATTTGATGAAAATCTGTTGCAAACTGAAAAAGTTCTTATTTATTAATTTATAATATAATTTATTTTGTATTGTATTGTATTAATTTATACACAAACTTGTAGAAATGGCTTTAAATTCAATTTGATGAATATCTGTTGAAAACTAAATATTATAATATTTAATTGTATTCATTTCTCTATCGTTCCTATGGGGGCTATATGATATAGTCGTCGGATTTTCATAAAATTGTACACAAAATTTAGGACTAATATAAAATGGCTATTTCTCAAATTTGATCAAATCTGTTGCAAACTGAAACAGTTCTTATTTATTATTTTATAATTTAATTTATTTTTAATTGTATTAATTTCAACACAAAATTGTAGAATAATATGAAATGGCTATACATTCAATTTATTGAAAATCTGTTAAAAACTAAAAATGTTATCATTTTTAATTGTATTAATTTCTCGATCGTTCCTATGGGGGCTATAGACACAAAATTATAGAATAATATAAAATCGCTATATCTTAAATTCGATCAAATTCTGTTAAAAACTAAAATGTTATAATTTTTTTGTAAACATTTTCCGATCATTCCTATGGCCCGTTCCGACATATATACGAGTAAGAGTATATAGAAAATTAACTACAAAGTTTAATTCAGATAGCTTTAAAAAACGGACAGACGGACATGGCTAGATCGACTCGGCTGGTGATCCTGATCAAGATTATATGTACTTTTTATGGTATGAGGTGCTTCCTTCGCTGCGTTACAAACTTCTGACTGAAATCATAATACCCTGCAAGGGTATTAAAATTTAACTGTTTTTGGTAGAGTTGTCGAGAAATCAAAATATCAATATGGTGTTGATAAAATTGTTTTTTATTTGTGACAAGTGGAAAGGGAGAAACGGACAAGTGCTGGCCACCTGCCGCCTGCGCGCTAAATCTGGGTAAAAGTCCAGGAATATAGCTTCTTGACAAGACTCTTCTTGGTTTGCGGGGTCAAAGAGCCTCCTCGTTCCGACGGCCGGATCTACAGCTTCTCAGGCAGCAGAATAGAGGAGGCACCACCGCCGCCATTGCACATGGCTGCTCCTCCGTCGTTCAATGTGGAGGCATTTTCGCTCTGGGAAACGGTGGCCAGCGGGCCAAACTTATCGAAGTTGTATTCCTCGTCCTCGGCAACTGCATCTTCACGGGCACGCCGCCGCAGAACGCTTGTAGAGCTGGAGCTTCTTGGCCGTGTGGACTTCGAATAGGCCACCAAAGACCGCCATAGGTGTGGCACCGCATTGCCCATGATCTCCTCCTGGACATCGCATTTTTCAATCCCCGATGGAGTTTCGATGATTCGGACCTGGTTCTGCCATACGACGTGAAGTTCTCCAAGCATTTCGTGGCCCGGCTGAGAAAGGTGACCAGACCAGGATTTGGGACAGACGCTCCTGGGACCAGGCCGCAGTCGGCGGGCAACAGTTTAAGTGGGATTAATCAAACGGGAGGTAAGTAAGGAGACGCTAATAGTTATTCCATATTCTTACATTTCCTTATGCTCTATTACAGCCATGCCCAAGACTCCGGTCGGATCGTTTATGGCCAGAAGCAACACCACTGGCTTGGCCAACATGTCGAAGTTCGGGCTCAGTCAGTCGCAGTCCTTCAGCGGAGTCCTCGGTCAATCCAAGTAAGTTTCTGAAATCGACAAGCGCATGGAATGTATTCTAAAGTAAAAACACATCTCTCTCCTCCAGTCGCGCCTCCTTGGGAACTCCGTTGAGCCAGCTCCAAAGTAGCATTAGCCAGCAGTCCATGTCCATGAAGCCAGCGAAACCGATCGAGCCGGAGTTGTGTTTGGAGCACATCTGGACGGAGAACATCTACGGAGTGTAAGTGCTACCCTGGACATCCTTGAACTGCATTCTATTTCATCTCTGCCCTTCAGACAACGTGAACTGTGCGAGATGGCCACCCGAGCCTTCATCCACACGGATTTGGTGGGCCAGACATTTCTGTGCTACCTGCTCGCCCGCTCCTGCCGCCTCCAGATGGTCCGCCTCACTGGCTATGGAAGCAGTGAAGTGCAGCTCTCCACACTGGCCACGACTCTGGCAGCCAAGGATGCTGTGGGTCTGAATGTAAATGGTCGCAGTCCTCGATCCTAGCGGTAGCCTAATCCTCTACACCGGAACCGTGCTCATCGGTTCATTATGCTATTTAATTTTTATGTTACATATAAGCCCAGCATTCCAGAATTTAGTTAATATCATAGGCAAATTGCACAAAGTTTGGCCCCAAAAAGTTGTAATCTTAAAACTAAAACCACTTACAAAAAACGTAAAAAAAATTATCTTTAAACTTAAGTAAACAAAAGGAATATATATTCCACAGTTTCGACTAGTTTCCACGGTTTCCAGGGCTAATGCACTCCACAATCTCACCTCCACAAATGATTTCATTTTATAAGATTTTCTGCTGTATTTCAGTTCTCTGAAATAGAAATATATATATATATTTTTTATAAGTATATATATTAAATATATATATATTTATTTAATATTTAACATATATATACTTATATAAATATATATAAAATAAGTCTTCCAACAATTGGCGATCCCCAAAGTATTCGTATATAAGTATTTATTTATATTATTTATACAAAGCCAAACTCACCCATAAAATCTAGATTTTCAGCCCATCTTATAACATTGAAACTGTTCATATTTAATCGAGCGGCCACTTCTGTGGCCAATGCTCATAGTTTTAAGTTAGCCTTTAGTTTATAACCAACCGCTAGCGTTATATAAATAAATAAATACATTTATAAGAATATTTATTATTTTTTAAAATTTATTTTTAAGTATATATATGTATACATATAAATATAAAACATCCTCCTCCATCCTCCTTCCGGACTACCACAAAATTTCCATCAGCGGCAGGGCACGCTGCCAGTCGTCGTTGGTGGCCTCCAGTCCGTGGATCAGGTGCTCACAGCTAATGGCGTCCAGAGTCTCGTGATTCGTCTGCAGAGTGGCGCAAGTGTGCAGAATCTCCGCCTGCTCTGCCGCATTGTAGACCCTCAGCAGACGGCCTACTGCACATAGTCCTTGGCCAGGGCCAATTGGCGAGGTCCGCTGCACACGCCCAGGATCACGACGTCCACGTAGTGAGCGTTGATGTGCTTGTGGCCACTAGGGACCGCGCCGGTCTCCTCCAGCCACTCATCGCCGGCCACTCATCCAGCCGATCGGGCGGCAGCTGGCCCAGCTGGCCCAGCTGGGGTCGTGCCTCCGCTGACTATTCTGGCTGAACTGTAAAAGGTTGAAATTTAAATGTTAGTTTTATAAATCGCTTACATACTAAATACATACTTCGGTTCCTGTTCCTCCTAAGTCGCTTGTTTATGCGATCTTGCGCATGGACCAGATGCTGCTGGCAGGTTTTGTTGAACAAAAGTTCGCTATTTGCGAACTTTTGTAACGCAACACCTGTAAGATAATTTAAATAAAATTAATTAAATATATTATTTTTTCTATATAATATTTTTACCTTTTATTAGGAGGAACAATTTGAATTTTTTGAAGCTAGGCTTCGTCCTTGTCCCTCTCCACGAGAGCTGCACGCTCAAACTGTCAACCAGGACGGCTTTCAGCACGTCCCTGGTGAAGCGAGCAACATCAATGCCATCTATTTGCCGTATTTTAGATTTCTGAAATATAAATAAATATTTAAAAACTGTAGAATATTTTTAAAAATTAGTCCTCACCATCTGTTGCCTCGCCTCTTCGTTTGACAGTAAGAGCGTGTCAAACTCCCGGAGCCCCTCCATTGTGGCAAATGGTAGGATTGGCAACGTCGCCGAAGAGGAACAAGGAGAAGGTCCTTCTGAAAAAAGTCGAATTTGATTAGTATGTCATATAATAATAATATAATATAATAATATAGCACAAAATAAAAGTACTCACCAGCCTCGACGAGGGTCGGGAAACGGCCGCCCAGCTCGCTGACATTCCGGACCACCAACGGATTCAGCAAGATCAAGTCGACGCCCGGACGTTGTTCACGATCTACGGCCAGCATAGCTGAGATGGTCTCCTGTAGATCGGAACCGTACACGGCAGGAATCCGACGGAACACGCCCTGGGCGGACAGCTGAGCGAAGGTGGGCCCATGGAATGGTGGACGCAGGGCGCACATCTCGTACACCACGCAGCCCAGGGCCCACACGTCGCTCTTCCGGTCGGATATCCCGC